TACCAAGTCACTGTCGGTTTATGCTATTATGGTTATTTGTTTAACGCCCTTAATTTAAAAAATTGTTCTAGACTTTTAAAAAAAAGGTAATCACAAAGTACGAAAAGAAAGCATATATAACTGTTTATATAGTCTTCGGGTAGGCCTGGACTCAGTAAACTTGATAACAAAATCAGAAATCCTAAAGATTTTTACTGAAGCAAACTATCAGCTTTATTATATCAGTAAAGACCATAAACAAGCCAATCAACACACTGGAGAAAACCATTTGTGGTATATAAATGACAAGGGATCAATATTAGAAAAAGCCTTTGAATATCAGTAAGAAAATATGAATGTTCAGTATAAAAATGAGCAAAATAGCGCAGAGGCAAAGTCACCAAAGAAATAAAAGGAATGCTAAATGTGTAAAAAAAAAAAAAAAAAAAAAAATCCCGCAATAGTAATCAGAGAAAGGTGAGTAAAGGGGCACCTGGGTGGCTCAGTGGGTTAAAGCCTCTGCTTTCAGCTCAGATCATGATCCTAGGGTCCTGGGATTGAGCCCCGCATCGGGCTCTCTGCTCAGCAGGTGCCTGCTCGTGATCTCTGTCAAATAAATAAATAAAATCTTAAAAAAAAGAAAGGCAAGTAAAACAGCCAGGCCACTTTTCACTCTCAAACTGGCAAGAGTACAGCAAGGCCAAAGAGAAGCCGAATTTGGCTGCAGTTGGTAGACGTTGGGAACCATTGAAAGGGCATGAGCAGGAGTCCTCTGTAGATAGAGGAGTCTGATGCCTAACGGGACAGAGGAGAGCCCCCAGCTGAAGCCCGGGTCAGCACTCTGGGTGTGAGGAAGAGCACAGAGCAGGAGAAGAGAACCACCTCAGAAAAAAGCCCATAGGGTTTTTTTGTTTGTTTGTTTGTTTTAAGAGTTTATTTATTTGACAGAGATCATAAGTAGGCAGGGTGGGGTGGGGGCGGGAAGCAGGTTCCCCGCTGAGCAGAGAGCCCAAAGGGGCTTGATCCCAGGACCTGGGATCATGACCTGAGCCGAAGGCAGAGGCTTTAACCCACTGAGCCACCCAGGCGCCCCAAAATCCATAGGTCTTGATGGTGAGCAGAGAGCAAGGTCGGGATGGCCAGTGTGTGGTGTGACTGGGAGGACAGTGAGGAAACAAAGATGGATCCTGGGGAGTGGGTGAGGGGAAGTCCAAGGTTTGCTTTTTGACGCCGGATGTCATGGTTTCAGTCTAGAGTTTCATTACCAGTGACTGGCAGCAGAGTCAAAAGATTTAGGCTACAAAAAGGATTTGCTGTCTCTCACAATTGACAAGTCCTGGACTGAAGTTTCAGGCACATCTGGATCTGGATGGCCAAGGGAGGTCATCAGGAGTCTCTGTGTTCTTGTCCAAGGAGGACAGAAATGGCCACGGACAGCTCCAGGCCCACATTCTCCCAGCAGGCACAGGTCCTGTAGTGGCTGTATGGGCCTGGAGTGGGAAATGCGACTGATAAACAGGCTAAGGTCATAGCCCAACCCACAGTGGGGGGAATGGTTCTCCAAGGGAAAACTGGGAGTCTAGTCACAAAGGGGGACTGGAGCTGAACAGCAAAAAGTATACGTGTCCCCTGCATCCGTCCTCTAAACAAGATCTACACAGATCCTGCTACCTGTACAATTTTTAAAATGCTTCTCTTTATGGTAACACAACGATCTCTCACAAAACTTAAAATACCCTTGTCCCATCTCCAGAAGGAGATGTTCTAAGTTCTCATCCATTTAGCAGTCCGGCCCCAATTCAAGATCTTGGTGGTAGGCTGTCTCTTTGGCAGGTACTGAGCTAGGCCCTCATGGTCTTTCAGCTGAGGGCCAGACAATGATGGAGGAAAGACCAGACAGCTGAAAGCACAAAATCCTCCCAGCTGAAGAGGGGAGATGAGGAAAAATACTCAGTGATCACAGACCATATGTGGTCCACATACTCTACCAGTTGGGGAGGACGGGATTCCCGGACTCCTGTTTTCGGCTTCTTTGGTTCTGCCATCTCCAAGAGCCTCCCTGGTCCTTCAGGTTCTGTGCCACGCAGAAAAGGGGCCTTGGGGGCTCACCTCCCACTGATGCAAGTGTAAGGGGTGGGGAACACTAGATGCTTAGTAATACCTGGCCTTTGTTTTCCAGGTTTGTGGGTTTTTCTGGCAATACAATCCCCTTAATCATTAGGAAGCTTTCAGTCAATTTGCATTCAGTTGTCCCCAGAGCCATTAACCAAACTAGAGACCTCATTGGAAGTTGTAATTCTTGAATCAAGTCCCTGGTGATGGTGTTGGAGGAGGAGCAGAGGTTGTCTCTTAGCAACAGCCCTTGGTGCCCTGCCCATCCCAGAAGCCCATGGTTCTGTTGCTTCTTGGGAGGCCTCTGCCACAGGGCAAGGCAAACCCTTCCTCTAGGGTGGGAGGCAGAGTCCATCTGCCCCTTCCCACTCAAGCCGCATCCCAGTGGAAGGCTGTTTCTGATGAAAGCAATGGTGGCACGGCAGGAAGTGTTCTTGAACGCCTGAGGAGTCAAGAGCCTGCCATGGCCCAGGTTTGTCTCTCTGTGTTTCCAGCCTCCCTATCCTTGCTTGAGCTGACTTTACTAGAAGCAGAGAACTGACTCTTAATTATCTGACTCTCAGCCATATTGGATTACTGGCCTCAGGCAGAAAGCGCCTCTCTAGGCAAAGCAGCATTTTCTTCCTCTGCTTTCAGATGGGCCCCTTTCAGCCATGTGTCTCTTTCTTGTTGGACCTTACTGAGGCTGAGGGAGCGGCCACACCCCAACAGGGTGACCTTTTTTACAAGGACCCTAAAGTTCCAGGTAGGAACATTACCTGAGCTCCAGAGACAGTGGGAGAGTTTCATCAGCTGCTTTGCTGCTGGGTAGCAGGCAGGGGTCACCAACTTCTGAGGGGGGAAGTGGTACTATCTTACTTCCCCTCTTAGTTCAGCTAATTCCTCCTTAGGGTCTATTCCTTTAAAAAAAAAAAAATCCCATTTCTCATTCTAGTTTCTGAGTTAGGACTTCTTTCTAGTGCAGGTACCACAGACCTGACTCCAAATGGCTTAAACAACGAAGGGAAAGGATTGGCTCACCCAACTGAACAGACCAGATCTCAAACAGTGTCTGTGAGAAATCTCTTTCTCCATTCCAATTCTGCTTCTCTGCTTTGGCTTTGTTCCCAGGAGGTTCCTCCCCAAAGAAGCAAAGATAGCTCTTGCAGCTCTAGCCTTCCCCATCAGCTTAGACACCTGAGGCCAAAGAGGATGCTTTCCCCCCAGTAGTTCCAGAGAAGTCCTGGAGGGAGGAATGACCCCTGGACTCAACCTGGGTGATCTCTGCCCATCCTGGGACTCTGTTTGGCCAGGTCCATATTACTTTCTTACCCCTGGAGCCGGGCTGGACCATCAACCCCCACTCAAAGCATGTGGATGGAGAAAGTGGGGAAGGAAGAATGTTTCTCCAAGGTCAAAGAAGAATGATTTTATCAGGAGAAGGACTGGGTGCTGGGCTAGTAAAGGGAACAGTCACCCATACCCCCATATGGAAATCCCTGAAGGCGATGGGAACTCGAGAGCAGGTCAGGATGGAGATGCAGAGCTGAGAGTCAGTGGCTTAAAGCTAGGAGTGAACTTGTGGAAGCAAATCCGACTGCCAGGAAGAGGGCAGATGCAAAGAGGGTGTGAAGGTGGACCTCTCATCAGGAAGATTCAGAAGGCAGTAGGAAGAGGAGGTTGGAGAACCCAAATGGGCAGCTTCATGGCAGCCTGGATGGAGGGGCCAGTAGTGTCAGCCAAGGGACCAAGTGGGTGGAGATACCTGATGACAACTGGATTGATAAACGGATGGTCTGTGACCCAGAGGAGCACAGTGTCAGCAGAGGGTGGCTGAAGTCCAGTCACAGGCAGTTAGGAAGAGGAGGGCAGTGATGAGTGGGGTAGAGATTCCACGAGGTAGAAGAGGTATGACCAGAAGCCAGAGATGAGGGATGAGAGGCAGTGGGAGTTCAGGGTGACTGGGGGTAGGATGTCAGGAAGGGTGGTGGCTTGTGCTAGAAATAGCCTGAAGAAGACAAATATGGTGGCCCTTGGAGCAAAGGGCAGGGGCAGGACACTTACTGGAGACCGACCTAGCAAAGGACTCTGAAAAAGGACCTACACACCAAGAGTGGCAGTGATGGGAGGGTACAGAAGCAGGACAGGAATAAACAGTGACACACCCACACAGGTATCATCAGGTGAGGTGACAACTTGGTCGCTGCAACATGGTACCAACAGTCCACCCTGTCTGATGGGTATGGTTTGCATGACATGGAAATAAGCACCTTCCTTTAAAGACTTTTTTTTTTTTTTCAGATGTAAGATACATACAGCCAAATACATATAGCGCAGTAGCTTTAAGCATTTAGCCTGATTATTACATATGTATTCACATGTATAACCACCACTCCTATCAAGATCTAGAACATTTTCAGCATCACACAAGGTTCCCTCCTGTCCCTTCTCAGTTTCTAGTCTCCAGGGAGTAACCGCTATTCTGACTTATATCATGATGAATTTAGTCTGTTCTTGAACTCTGTATGTATGGAATCCTACAGTGTGCCCTCTGCTCTGGCTTCTTTTATTCAGCATAATGTGGGATGGGTTCACCCATGTCCTTGCATGTACCAGTGCTTCCTTTTCTTATTGCTGGATAAAATTTAATTTATCCATTCTACTGGTGATGGGCACCTGGGTTATGTCTAGTAGTAATATAGGTTGGAAGTGTTATAAGTATAATGAATGCCTCCCCCCACCAAAGATTTCTCATTCTTTCTCACTGTCGTGCATGTACACTCCTCACCCCTGCAGGTACTAGAGCAGGCCGGCCCCCTCTAGGAGGCCAAGCCATTGGGATACCCTTCTTTATGGGTGTGTGTTTCCTGGGGCAATTTCCTTACGCGTGGGGGAGACCATCCTCCTACGGCTTACTCCCTCTCTTCTAGCCTCCTCAGCCCTCGCCGTGGGCGCCCTGAGCCTTCCCGACCCCGTGGGGGGGCTCGCCCGCGGCCCCCCATGAGCGCACCCGGCTGACCAGCGGGGCGGCCGCGGTGGAGCCCGGGCGCCACGGAGGCGGCGGGGCCATGGCCTCGCTGGACCTGCCGTACCGCTGTCCCCGCTGCGGGGAGCACAAGCGCTTCCGGAGCCTGTCGTCGCTGCGTGCTCACCTGGAGTACAGTCACACGTACGAGACGCTCTACATCCTCTCCAAGACCAACAGCATCTGCGACGGTGCCGCCGCGGCCGCTGCCGCCGCCGCCGCCGCCTCCGGCTTCCCGCTGACGCCCGAGCCCGCCGCCCTGCTGGCCGTGCCCGGCGCCCGGCGCGAGGTCTTCGAGAGCACGTCCTTCCAGGGCAAGGAGCAGGCGGCCGGGCCGTCGTCCGCCGCGCCGCACCTGCTGCACCACCACCACCACCACGCGCCCCTCGCCCACTTCGCGGGCGACCTGGTGCCCGCCAGCCTGCCGTGCGAGGAGCTGGCCGAGCCGGGCCTCGTGCCCGCCGCCGCCGCACGCTACGCGCTGCGCGAGATCGAGATCCCGCTGGGGGAGCTGTTCGCGCGCAAGTCGGTGGCCTCCTCCGCGTGTTCGACGCCGCCGCCCGGGCCGGGCCCCGGGCCCGCCTCCGCCTCGCCTGCGTCCCCCTCGCCAGCCGATGTGGCTTACGAGGAGGGCCTGGCGCGCCTCAAGATCCGCGCGCTGGAGAAGCTGGAGGTGGACCGGCGGCTGGAGCGGCTGAGCGAGGAGGTGGAGCAGAAGATCGCCGGCCAGGTGGGTCGGCTGCAGGCCGAGCTGGAGCGCAAGGCGGCCGAGCTGGAGACGGCGCGGCAGGAGAGCGCGCGGCTGGGGCGCGAGAAGGAGGAGCTGGAGGAGCGGGCGTCCGAGCTCTCGCGCCAGGTGGACGTGAGTGTGGAGCTGCTGGCCTCGCTCAAGCAGGACCTGGTGCACAAGGAACAGGAGCTGAGCCGCAAGCAACAGTGAGTGGCCTGCGGGGGCCCTGTGGGCGGGTGTGCCCGTGAATGTTCCTGACTGGGTGACCGTGTGTGTCACTGCTGCTGCCACCACCGTGCGTGGGCCCGAGTGTGGCTCTGCGTGTGCCTGTGTGGCCATGGCTTGGTCCTGTGGCATCTGTGGCCATGAGCACATGATGGTGGTGTGTGTGGGGCCAAGAGCGTCATGATGATGTGTGTTTGGGACTGTGAGGACATGCAAGTACACCCGTGTGCCTGCCTATGACAGCTCGTTCTCTTCCTTCTCCATGTCTCCAGCCAAGGCCAGACCCTGCACTGTGGCACCAGATCCTCTAACCTTTTGCCGACTCAAAGATGTGGCACAGTTCAGCTCTCTCTCTTTGCCATCATCAGATTTTCCTTGTCAGCTATATCATTCCTGAAAGCAGCCAAACGGGAGGTTGCTTCTCCTATCCGCCATAACCTCACGGCCCCCTTGCGCTGCTGCCCCTTTCCTCCCCTTCCAGAACAACTCCTTTAAAGTTTATACTCCTTATCTCCAATTTCCTTCTCCACTTTCTCTCTTGGATCCACTCTGATCAGATAGATGTCCACCGCCACCACTGTCCTCCACGTCACCAACTACCTTCAGTCGCTGAGTCCCATTCCTCACCTCAGCCTGTCAGCAGCATTTGACACAAATGAAACACATGAAACAAATGAAATGAAATGAAACACAACCTGAAATGCTTTCTTCACTTGGCTTCCAGAACACTCTCCTTTTTTCTGCCCCTTCTCGGTGTTCTTTACTCGCTTCTTATTTCTGCGGTCCTTAAATGTAGAAGGAAATATAAGGATGTTATTTATCTACCCCCATCGGGATTCAAGTAAGCTCTGTGGGAGCAAGAGCTTTTCTCAGGTCTGTCCACTGCTGTGCCCCTAAATACCTAGAACAGTGCCTGACACCTAGACGGTGTTGAATGTGAATACATTTGGGAGTAAATGTTCAAGTGACTCTGAAGGGTGCTGTGTGTACATCCCAGAGGCTTCTGCATCTGAGAATGTTTCTGAAAGTGTGTGTGTGTGTGTGTGTGTGTGTGTGTGTGTGTGTGTTGGGCTGTGTGAGCGGGACTGTGCCTGTCTCAGATGGCGCGTATGCCTGCAAGTGAACAGGACATGAGCACACGTACGGAACTGTGTGTGGCCCTGTGCCCGTGAGTGTTTCCGGAAGGAGGAGGTGGCCCTGGGTGTGATTGTGAATGTCAGAGCGCTTCCGTGGGGATGAGGGATGTGTGGCAGGAGCGTTGGGGCTGGGTCAGTGGGGTGTGAGCGTGGGTCTTGGGGTCTATGGGTTGCATTTCTGGGTGCGCGGTAGCGTGGGGCGCGTGCTGCGTGGACCCACGTGAGTGTGTCTCTCCCTCCCACTCGGGGTCTCATCTGGAGGGTGGGTGGGCAGGCAGGGACCGAGGCACCTGGGTGAGAGACTGCTCCGGCCCAGGGAGGTGGTGCAGATCGACCAGTTCCTGAAGGAGACGGCGGCACGGGAGGCCAGCGCCAAGCTGCGGCTGCAGCAGTTCATCGAGGAGCTTCTGGAGCGTGCTGACCGCGCCGAGCGGCAGCTGCAGGTCATCAGCAGCAGCTGTGGGAGCACACCGAGCGCCAGCCTGGGTCGTGGAGTGGGTGGAGGGGGCGCTGGGCCTGGTCCCCGGGGCCCCGGCAGAATGGTGAGTGTCCACCTGCCGTCCCTGCTCCACTCGCACCCCTGCCCCCTCCAGTGCCACCGTGTGCACCGCCTGGCCTGGCATTCCCTGTTATGGTCCGTGCTTCCCTTCTATGGCTCTTTCCTGCAAGCCGACTCTGGAGGGGTCTGAAGGAGGGGTCCGGGAACAGGGGTGCCCCTCTGACTGGGCGGAAGTGCCAGCCCCTGAGGCTGTGATCCAACTGCCCCTGTTCTCAGGGGCCCATCTCTGCCCAAATGAGAGCCCAGGAGCCACAAGCTGGGGTCTGGGGTGCTGGGTGGGTGTGGGGAGGGGGGTGGTGAGCCTGCCTTTCTGGGCTGTCTGTCTGTCTTTTTGTCCATCTTTCCCAACTTTTTTCCTTCTCTCTCCTCTCCCTCTTCTCTTCTCTCCATCTTGTGCCCTATTTCTCCTGCTCCTCCTCATCCTCTTGCCTCCTCTGCCCCTGCCCCTCCGCCTTTCCCTCCCGCGCGGGGGCCCACAGCGAGAACACCACGCGGGCCCGGCCATGCCTAGCACATACGCCGTGTCGAGGCATGGCTCCTCTCCCAGCACAGGGTAAGCCTCGGGCCTGGCCCGTCCCACACAACCCACCCTCACCCCAGAAAGATCCACTGGCCCCCTGGTTGGTTGGCCCATCTGGGGCCTTGGCTCCTTCTCCTTTCCCCGCATTCCTTGGGTCACCTCTGTCTGCCTCTCCATACTCTTGGAAGGGGGCTCTTGGAAAGTAGGGCAGGGGGTTTGCCCTTGGTAGGGGTGGCATGGGGAGTTGGGGCCGACCTGGTGCCCCTCACTCCTCACCGTCTGGTCCACCCCACCCCAGGGCCTCCAGCCGTGTCCCCGCTGCGTCCCAGAGCTCAGGCTGCTATGACAGTGACAGTCTGGAGCTACCCCGGCCAGAAGAGGGGGCCCCCGAGGACAGTGGCCCTGGGGGCTTGGGCACACGGGCCCAGGCCGCCAACGGTGGCTCGGAGCGCACCCAGGCCCCTCGCAGCTCAGGCCTGCGGCGTCAGGCCATCCAGAACTGGCAGCGCAGACCCCGCCGACACAGCACGGAGGGGGAGGAGGGTGATGTCTCAGACGTGGGCTCGAGAACCACCGAGTCAGAGGCTGAGGGCCCCTCAGAGGTCCCCCGCCCTGGGCCTGCTCTGGCTGGGCCACTGAGCAGCTGCCGGCTCTCAGGTGAGTCCTGGAAGGGTAGGCCAGAGAGGCCAAGCTTTCCTGGGTGCTGGGCCCTCTCAGGGGACACGGGGCTGGGGCAGTAGATCTCTTGGGCTCCTGCACATGTTTTCCCATTCTCCCAGACTTCCCGCAGTGAGGATGACAAACTCTCCTACAAGTGTCCTGGGAGGCGGGGCAAGGAACTCCTGAGACAGAGCAGTGCTGCCGCACAGGGGTGTTCATGTTGGGGACTGTACAAGGATGCCATGTCTCAGGGGGTCCATTCACATGATGGGCTCGTTGACATTTACAGGACAGTTGCTGAGTGTTCACTGCAATCTGAAGTCCCTGGAACAGCAGGGAGAGCCCCCCCTCTATATATGCACAAGGCATGTGCATGTGTGGGTGGGTCAGGGTCAGGAGGTTAGAGGGCTCAGGTCAGGTGCATGGCTGCTCTTGAGTGACTGTTCTGGGCAGGCTCGCCCTGGCCTTCTGTTCACAGAGGCCGGGTTTCTATCTATCTGCACCCTCACCCTCTAAACCCTTGCCTTTCCTAGGCTTGACTCAGCTGCTTCATCTAGGGGGTGAATTTGGACAATACGCTGATGTATGATTTTTAAAAAACAGTTTACTTGAGGAAGGGTCACCTTTTTCTAAAGTGTATAATTAGAGATGGGGTGTGCAGAGGAGGGGGAAGCAGAGGCCCCATGTCCTTCCCAAGTCACTGGTCCCCCAGCAAGGGTCTCCCTCCCATGCCTGTTCCTTCTATAGCTCCCACACCACCCCCACCTCCCCACCACAACACCCCCATTGGCCTTTGACCCTCCACACTGACCTTTGACCCTCTGGTATGTGCAGCCCGCCCTGAGGGAGGCAGTGGGCGGGGTCGGCGGGCTGAGAGGGGCAGCCCCTCCCGCTCCAACGAGGTCATCAGCCCGGAGATCCTCAAGATGCGCGCTGCCCTCTTCTGCATCTTCACCTACCTGGACACGCGCACACTGCTGCACGCTGCCGAGGTCTGCCGGGACTGGCGCTTCGTGGCTCGCCACCCCGCGGTCTGGACCCGGGTGCTGCTCGAGAACGCCCGCGTCTGTTCCAAGGTGCCTGTCTTCGCCCGCCGGCCCTGCTGCGAACCCACCTTTCTTCCCGCAGAACTGGGGCCCTCGAGGTCTGGCCCTTGCATCCCTTTCAACACCCCAGCTTTAGCCTGGCTCCCCCAGATGCTCTGACGGGGCCTCCTGTCTTGGGGCTGGTCTCCCTCCAGCCCAGCCAAGCTCAGGCCCCCCATCGCCAGGCAACCCCTCTCTCCCCGCAGTTCCTGGCCATGCTGGCTCAGTGGTGCACCCAGGCCCACTCCCTGACGCTGCAGAACTTGAAGCCCCGGCAGCGGGGCAAGAAGGAGAGCAAGGAAGAGTATGCGCGGAGCACCCGGTGAGGCCAGGGAGGGTGGGTGTGGGGGGGGTACTGCGGGCACACCTGGAGCTCCACCGGGGAGGCTTCCTGGGGCAGGGAGTGGCCCCTAGCAGTGCCCTGAGCTCTTGGCCATCCACAGGGGCTGCCTGGAAGCGGGGCTGGAGTCCCTGTTGAAGGCTGCAGGGGGGAATCTGCTGATCCTGCGCATCTCACACTGTCCCAACATTCTCACCGACCGCTGCCTCTGGCTGGCCAGCTGCTACTGCCGCGCCCTGCAGGCCGTCACCTACAGGTAGTTCGCACCCTCTCCACTGGGGGCCAGAGGGGTCCCTGCGGTCTGCATACCCTTCCCCCAGGGCTCTCAGGCGAGGGGACCCAAGAGTTCTCTGGTTCAAGGGAAGGGAGAAGGTGCCACCAGAGTGGGCGGTCCCAGATCTGTCTTTTCAACAGGAGCGCCACAGACCCGGTGGGCCATGAGGTCATTTGGGCCCTGGGCGCAGGTTGCAGAGAGATCGTCTCCCTCCAGGTGGCGCCACTTCACCCTTGGTGAGCCCCAGCAGGGGTTTGGAGGGGCTGGGGTTGAGCCTGGGCTGGGCTAGCTGAGGACTGAGCCTATCTGGGTGGGCCATTCCAGAAGATGCTTGAGGGGACGGATTGACGTTCCATCAGTCTGCGTGTTTAGCTGTTAGGAGCGGGGCTTCAAAATCGGACCTGGGGTGACGTCCTGGCTCACTGGCCGTGTGATAGACGGCAATCCAGGCGTGCCTCAGTTTCTCAAGTGCAAAGTGAAGGTGACATTAGAGATCTTTTAGCCTTAGTGGGACTGTAGCTGGCTCAGATGAGCTGTATCTCTACAGCCTGTATGTCGGTGTTCAGTCAGCGCTAGCTAGAAATAGCCATGTCTGGTTGGCACACAGAAGGCCTTTGAGGAAGGTCGATGTAGCATCCACAAAGGAGGTGGTCGTTGGAGAATCCAGATCATTCACCACTCGACTTGGCGTTCCTCAAACCAGGCTTCCTTGTCCCTGCACTTTGTCCTCCAAGCCCTCTCTGCACGACAGCTCCTCCTGGGGCGTCTCATGTCCTTCCTAGCCACCTGGCAGAATCCGTCCCTGCTCCCCGGCCCCCATTCCTGTCAGGTGCCTGGGCTGGACCCCTGCTGGAGTTTGTTTTGCCGTCATCTTTCTCTTTCTGAGTCACCACCGTACTCGCAGCTCTCAGGGCCGGGCTGTGAATGTTCGCTTCCATATCCCTGGTACCAAGTGTGTAGCAGACACCAGGGAGCCCGCTGTTTGGGCCAATGCCGAGGAAGGAGGTGTTCAGGGAAACGGCGGGTTTGCTGTGTGTGGCGGGCTGGGCGGAGCAGTGAGTGTGGAGAGGAAGGTGGGGGCAAGGTTAGGAAGGTTTTGCGTAAGGGGGGTAGGTTTTTGCATTTTACCTAGGAAGTGCTCGGGAAGCCTTTTAGTATTTCTGATCTTAAAGACAGGATCACACCAGGCTGGTTATGTTCTCTGTACCCCCTCCCTGCCCCGCTCCTTGAGGGCAGGGACCATCTCTGTATTGTCACTGCTGTGTCCCCAGGGCCCAGCTCAGTTGTGCTCCGCTCTAGTAGACACTTGAGGCCCATTTGTTGAATGACTGAGTGAGAGAACATAGGAGCGAGGGGCTCGCTGTCAGCAGTGTGGCTGGGTGAACCGGCAGAGAGACTAGATGAACCCACACGAATGTGGGTGGTGGTGCGAATGGTGCATTGAATAGTTTTTCAGGAATCAGATTCTGTAGGTCTCTGCAGGGGTGAGGAAGGGTCAGGGATGATCCCAGGTTTCTAACTTGAGCTGCTGGGTGGTTGGTGGGGCCCCAGCCCGAGCTGCGGGTGGGGGTGGGGGAGGCATGAAAGAGGAGCAGCCTCGGGGTGCTATGCAACCAGAAGCTTCCTTGACAGCCGTCTCTCTGCCCCATTCTCCAGCCAGCAGCCCACGCGCTTCAGTAACCGCTGCCTGCAGATGATTGGTCGCTGTTGGCCGCACCTTCGGGCCCTGGGGGTTGGGGGTGCTGGCTGTGGGGTACAGGGCCTGGCGTCACTTGGTGAGTCTTGCTTCGGGACTGGGGTGGAGGGTGATGGGAAGCAGGTGTGGGTGCGACACGGACGTCCCGGAGGGGCTTGGGGCTGCGGCCCGGGTGGTGGCAGGAGCATGGAGGCACTAGGCCGGCTGGAGGCGACCTGGGGAGTTTGTCAGCAGGACCTCCCCTCCTCCTCCTCTCCCTAGCAAGAAACTGCATGCGGCTACAGGTCCTGGAGCTGGACCATGTGTCAGAGATCACCCAGGAGGTGGCTGCTGAGGTCTGCCGGGAAGGCCTGAAGGGACTGGAGATGTTGGTGCTCACGGCCACCCCTGTCACCCCCAAGGCCCTGCTGCATTTCAACAGTGAGCGATGGGAACGCGGGGGGCGGGGGCCCGCTGTCCTTTCTCACCATGCCTGGTCAGCAGGTAGCATACCCAGGTCCCTGTCGCTCCTTGTCAGCAAGCGCCAGCACGGGGGCGGGGGGCAGACCAATGAGGCTGCCAGTCTCTGCCTCACCACCTGTGTCTCTCGAGGCCAGTGTGGCGTGTGAGGCCTGCTAGCATCTGGTCCAAATGGTTCAGTGCCACAGACATTTATTGCCCTGTGCTCAGCCCCCACGGGAGACATGAGCTGTAGGCTGTCACCTGTTCCACGTGGGGCTCTGGCCAAGGGCAGGGGCAGGACGGACAGGTTAGGAATACAGGTTCTGGAGTTGAACTGATCTAGGTCTCCATTCTGGCTCTGCTGCTTATCAGCTGTGTCACTGGGCAAGTTACTCTGCTTCTCTGGGTTCTGTATCTCTGTCTTCTAAGCAGACATTCTGGAATGGGTGGATGGATCAGATGAGATCATGTGTGTGAGCCCCACCAGGCCCATTGTCAGCGTGAAGACCCCTCTCTCCATGCTACTGCAGACTCCACATGTGTCCTCTGATCCCACTGCCCTCTGCCACCTACTCCACCTTCACTGAGGACACGGGCGCCCAGCTGGGGCAGCTCACCCTCTTTGGGGCAGGGGCTTGGGCAGAAGCTGCTTTCTGACCCCTGCTCCATGCCCCCACTGGGACATCCTCCTGCCAGCACAGCCAGCAAGGAGCTGAGTAACCTCCAGCACCTGGTGTCACCGCCCTCAGGACCCACAGTAACCACCAGGTGGCTCCTTGGTTGCTCAGGCTACTGGGGCATGCCCCCTTTCCTGAGGTCCTGGTCACACCCAAGTCCTGAGCCCTGAAGATTTCTTGACTATCTCACTATTTCCAAGACCCTGTTCCTCCCTCCCCCTCAGCCTCATGGCCCAGCCCTGGACTGACCTCTAGGACTAACTGCTCAGCCTCCATAAGCATGACCTCCAGAACCCTCTCAGCCTCCTTTCTTCCTCCTCCTCCACTGACTTCATGGCAACATCTAGTTCCTTAAGCCCTCCATTCCCAACTTGTTTGCTGCCCGCCTCCCCTCCATGCTCCAGAGAAGACCCATCAGCCTCACCCCAGCTGCTCTGTCCTTGAATTCATTTCCAGATGGCCAGGCCATACTGTCCCCTCTGCCAGGGATGCTCCTAGAGCCTCTGCATGATTGACTGTTGCCCACTCATCCTCCCAGAGTCCACTGCAGCCTCTGCTGTATGACCTTGCCCTCCATGCCCCTCACCAACCCCTTGCCTGGTTGACCCTCTGGGTGCCATGGGCCTGCTTTCCTCTATGTAGTGCCCAGTGCCTGGCACGTGACTGTCTCTCTGTAGGGTTCTGGGTTCATTAAGTACTGATAGGAGAAGCAGCAGTCCCATTGTCCAGGCGAAACGTGAGCCACCACCTTACTGCCCACCTTTTCCCAGGCATTTGCCGGAACCTCAAGTCTATTGTGGTCCAGATTGGGATTGCTGATTATTTCAAAGAACCCAGCAGTCCCGAGGCCCAGAAGCTGTTTGAGGACATGGTGACAAAACTTCAGGTGAGGAGTTGGCTTTTAGGCCCCGCAAGACCTGAGGTGGCATCCCTAGGCTGGGGTTGCTGACCTAGGCATGTAATGGGAGGGCCCCGCTTGCCTGACCCTAAGGGGAACTAACCCAGGGTTCGGTCTACAGGCCCTACGACGGAGGCCCGGCTTCTCTAAGATCCTGCACATCAAGGTGGACGGTGGCTGCTAACCCGGGCGGGGGGCGGCAGGGCCTCTGCCAGCCCCACACCAGGGCACTCTCTTTGGACCTCCAGAGGGACCCTGATTGGACTAGACCTTTGGAGGCCTGGTGTTATCCCTGGCTTCCAGGGAAGGGTTGAGTTTCCTGTTCTTCTCCTGGGACCGTGGAGCAACAGGCCTGACCCTGGGCACTGCCTCTTCAGGGCTGGGGCTTGGACAGAAGCTGCCCTCCGACCCCTGCTCCACCCCCGAACTGGGGCATCCTTCTGGGCACAGCCAGCAAGGAGCTGAGTCACCACCAGCACCTGGTGTCATTGCCCTCAGGACCTGCAGTTAACCACGGAGTGGCTCCTTGGTTGCTCAGGCTACTGGGGCAGGCCCCCCCACCTTTCTTTCCGGTCAGGGGGCTCCACTAGGCCCCAGCCAGAGTGGGCTCCCCAAAGCAGCTCAGACTTGGCAAGGAGGGCTCCTTTCCTCATCCTGCCCTGTTCCAGCTCTCTGTGGGACATCCCCTTCAGACATCCTTCCTAGGCTCCGTGTCCACATTCCCCAGGGATAACACAGATAGGCCTATGGGTCTGGGAATGTGGTCACCCAAAAGTGGGGAGCAGGGGAACAGCGAGGTAATGGGAATGGGCTTGAAATGGCAAAACATTCATCTAGAACTTTTCCCCAGGATATTGAAACCACCACTCCCAAAGGGGGGAAATTGCCAAGTAGAGAAAACTTAGTTTTTACTGCTGTAGAAACAACAAGACCTTTCCTCCCAGCCATCGCATAACCTCATGACACACCAGAGCTAAATTCAGAGCTAAAAGGTGCATGTTTCTATACCTTCCTCCAATCCCAAGCCTCTGGAAGGGTAAGGCCGTAGCTCTGGGAAACCTTAGCAGCACTGAGCAGCAGCTCCTATCCTCAAGAAGTGTTTTTCTGGTGCTTGGGCAGGAACGAAATGGCCTCTGGGTCCCCAGTGCTGTGGGTGGGAGGGAGTCACTGGGCTGCCTTCTGTGCTGGGGCCTGGAGGAAGCCAGGAGGAGGGAATTTTGGTTCGTTTCCTTGTCTGGCTAGCTTGTTTGAAGACATGGCCTTGGTAGGGAACCAGACCCATGGAGCCAAGGACGAGGAAGAGCAGCCTCATCAGACTTGCCTCCCTCCACAGTATTCATGGGCCCCATGGGCTGTGGGCTCTGCTGGAGTGCTTCTGGCCAGGGAGGGTGCTGGGGCCCAAGCCAGAGCCACTTGGCTTGGAAACCACAGAATGCAAATGGGGGTTTTTATGGACTCCTGCACAGTTCTGGTAAGACCAGGTTCTGACACTAAGGCTCCAAAGACTCTCCCCAGTTCTCCTCTCAGAACTCCCCCAGTGGTGGAGAGGCCTTGGGTCCTGCTAACATTCACTTGGGAAGTTCTTTCAAACACTAACCTCAATCCATCTTAGGGTTTCCTTCTTTCCCATACAGGAGCCAGCTCTGCCCTAACCATTAGGCTGCCGGTCCTGGCTGGGCCCTGGGCTTCTCTAGTTTCTCAGCCCTTTCCAGGGACCTCTCTGCTACAGCCTGGCTTGGACATCAGGACCCAGCCCTGGGTTACCCTGTACGGAGCCCTTCAGATCTGGGACCCCACAGCCTCAGTATCCAGCTCCCCCGGCTCCACACCCAGCTCGTCCCTGCTCCTGTTGATTTTTCCTCCCATGGCTTATTCTGGCCCTGCCCTTGGAAGACCCCCAAATACCAAGGGTGTCTGTCATATTGGCAACTCCCTGTCCAGTCCTGCACAAAGCCTTGGCCGTGTGGCACCCCCAATTCCAGAGCAGCTTGCCCCACTGTCTCCCACCTGCCTGGCCCTGTCCCCAGGAGTTGCAGTAAACACGTTTCTGTCCTCCAGGGGCTTGTGAAGGGCTATGGGGGTGCCCTGGATGCATCTGTTTTGCCTTGCCAGCTGTACTCCCTGTAGCTTCTGCTCGAGACCCTAGGACCAGAGGTGCTGCTCTCCCCATCTCCTGGACAAAGCACAAAGGGAGGCCCTGCTTGGCCAGAGCCTGCCTTACTGAGGGATTTTTTCTGCCCCATGAAGCTTCCATCCCTGAATACAAGACTTTGGGCAATGTCTCCCCGGGTGGGTGCCCTCTGGAATGCCTGGCATCAGTCCTGGAAAAAGGAGGTCAGGGTGCCCGGGCAGGGAGCTAGAGTGGGAGCAAGGCAGTGCTGAAAGGACTGATTCTAGGAGTAGGTTCATTTACCCATTCATTCAATCATTCATTCATTCATAAGTGCAACAGCCCTGAGCACCACCAGCATTGGGGGCAGAAGAGTGAATAGGCCACCCCATTCCCATCCCCCAGCTCCGCTAGGAGGAAGTTTGGCTAGGAAGTCCCCACCTTGTATCTCCCAGCTGAGTGTGAAGGGGGTACAGGACCTATGGCATTGGTCCCTGGCCCTGCCAACAGAAACGATGGGTCATAGCGTGTCCCGCCGCACAGCTGCCCCAGAGCTCACAGACTCATGCACGTTGGACTTCATGCATGCTGAGAAGTGGCAGGGTGCAGGGCCCTCATCCCCTGGCTCAAAGCTATTTTTTGACTCTCGGGGATGAGCCCTGCTGCTGTACGGGGAGCCCATTTGCAGAGATGCTCCATTTGGTCACTTTGGCAACCACAGAGCACGGCTGAGGACGGGCAACAGGGATGGAGGGTCTGGCCACTCCTGGAGCACCTGTCCTTCACTCACTCGGAGAATCCTCCATATCTCACACCTAGTAAGATGCAAAGGGGGAGGAACATCAGAGCGAGGAAATCGAGGCAGGACATGCTCCAGGGCTCCCAGGCACGTGTAGAGGTCCCATGGGCTCCAGCACTCGGGTGTCCTACACCTGTCCCTGCCACGTGGCCTGGACCCAGCAACACAGAGGCTTGGCGCACTCCGCTTGAGCGCTTCGTCAGGCTTTGGGCTGCCTCCCCGTGGCACTAGCAGGGAACAAAGGTGGTGCTGTATGTACCTGACCCCTGGGAGAGCGGAAGGGTGCTGCCCAGAATTGTGGCTTTCCACTGGCCAAGAAACCACCTAAGGACCAAGGCAGCCCAGGATTTCCTGGTCCTGTGAGAGTGGTTTGAGCGAGCCCCTCAAGAAATGCTTCAAAAACAAAAAGCCACCTTCCTCCCAAAGCCTGCTGCTCCAAGGTTTGGCTCCATCCTTTGCCTTTGGGTCCTTGCCTGTTCCCCTGGTCCTTTGGGCTATGGGGGGGAAGCTGCCCATATTCCTCTAAGGCGCTAGGCTGAAGACCTTCCCAGAGTGATTACTGGTGCCAAAGACCCAATTCCTGGTGGACAGCAGAAATGGTGAGTGGGGACAGGGCTTACCTGCCCAGAGGTAATAACTCAAATTGATGCCATCTGTCCCGCCTATTGGTTCCTCCCCCAGGGGCCTGGCACTTCTCTCTTTAACCCTGGCGGTCATGCTTTCTCACCCGGCCTTGTTCCAGGCCTGCATTTCTGTATATACTGCTGTGTGTTGTGTGTATGTATTTATTCCTGGACAAGCGTATTCATCTGCAGCTTCTGCCTGAGGATAAGGTTTAGGATTGGGTGAAGACCGGAACACCAGGGCCAACTAAGGCAACCAGCTCCTATTCCTTCCCCAACACCCTGGGACCCTGGCCAGTCCCAAGACTGCCCTGACAATCAGGCAGGCTTCCCCACCATGAGCCCAAGCCTCAGTTCTGCCCCGGCAGGGTCCTGCATTCAAGTGCAGAGGCCTGAGGCGACCTTGGCTTGCCTCGTGACTGGCACCAGTAGGCTTGGCTCTAGTGGGCACTGCTAGTGGGGCCCTCCACGAGTGGCCCCCAGGCCTGCCTTCCCTGCACGGCCAGGCTGCAATGGGCCTGAACCGTGAGCGGAGCTCCCCCAAACCCAAGCACAGCAGGCGGAGGCGGAGAGCGTTTTTTGGTTTTGTTTCTGAAGTGGTGCCTGTACCTCCAGCCCCCAGGGGGCCTTCCCTGGCCCCACTTCTCTGCCCGCCCCCCAGGCATCACCATCCCAGCACTTTGCTCCACGTCACCCATAGGTGCCCTCTGCCGAATGTACCTAAGTGTATGTATTTAAAAGGACTCATGTGGGCATCAGAGAATTTATGACTTTGTATCCAATAAAAGATGGTGAAACTGGACTATCTGCCAGGGAAGTAAACGGTAAGTGGCCGTATTTTTGTCCGTCTGTCACCAAGCCTTTCTGCCCCTTAAGTGCAGAGGCAGGAAGGTGGGGGGTGTGTGTGACCTGAACAGCATTGAGAGTGAATAAAGCATTAGGAAGACCTGTCTCAGGGCTCTAGACATCGCTGTCCCTGCCACAATCACTCTGCACACAGATGAAGAGCCTTGGGGTGTCATTTCTGACCCTCAGCTGGGGGAGGCCATTTTAAGGACAACAGGACAAGTCCAGCAGGAGCACCAGACACTGCCCAGCCCCTCAGTAGCCTGGCCACCTCTACAGGAAGCTCTAGCCAATCAGGCTCTGGCCTGGGGGAGAGACCAAATTGACCATTGTTTTCTGGCCTCGACTCCCCCATTTTGCTAAATGAGGTTGCCCCACTGATTTGATTACTGAGGTCTTAAAATATTTAAAATCAGAAAAAAGACCAGGGGTTTGGGCTTAAATTATGTGCGGTTCCAGCATCGAACAAGCAGATGAACACGCGTCCCCAAAACTCCAAGCCGGATCTTCTGTTCCCCATAGGGGCAGCATGGTGGGGACTCAGAAAAGTTAGTTTACCCAGAGACCATCAAGTAGGGAGGGATGCCCGACTCCACAGCCTGCCCAGCACCCCATCCTGCTCGAGTCCACCTATCCAAAGGTGGGCCAAACTCAAGACATTTTCTTCCTGATCGCCTCCCATTGTCAGGCAGCTAAGGCTTCCATGGCTCAAGGAGACAGAGTCCTCTAGCTTCAACAATGACGATAGCTAGCTACAGGCTGGCTCTCAGGACAGTGTGAACGAGAAGGCAGTCCGACCCTGCTGATTTCCAGTTTATCTGTGCTGGCCACTCCAAACCTCCACCGGTCAGATGAAGGCAAAAGGAAGCCCCAAGACCATTAGTGGTTGAATCGAGAAGACCAGGTGGGTGCTCCTCAGCCACCTCCTCAATGGACTTCTGAACAATCACGACAGAATTTCAAGAGGATGTGGCCTCTCTAGAACATTCTTCCAAGACCCCTCAACCATGAGATCTTGAATCAGACCAAAGACTGAGCCAAGAGTATGGAGGTGAAAGGAGCAAATGAAGTAACGTAACACAGGTACTCAAACCCAGAGAAATCCTGGGAGCAGTGCCTGGTGAGGCCAGGGCTAAACAAGAGGACATCAGTGTCCCAGCCACTTCTGGGATAAAGGAAACTAACAAAGTGAGACTTCCAGATGGAGGTTCCCAAGTGGAGCTCCCTACTGCACACTCTGCCTTAACAACCAGAGGCTGCTGAGGACTCAGCCCGACAGAAAAGATTTTTCTGTGGGTGAATACATACAAAAGTAAAATCCTGAGCTGGAGTCAAGACACTTCCAAATAAAACTCCCGTGTCCAGGTAATTTGTAAAGTGAATTCTAAGTCTTAAGTTTATTTAAATAACCTCCAGTGAGAACAGAGTGGACCAATGACTACCCCTTCCTCGTGATACCAACTGACCAAGACAGAGTAAGCACACCCTGCAGCCAGCCTGCCAGCCCCCCGCGAGAGGGGCAGGGTGCCTCTCAGTGTGGGCGGCCCCGGCCCCGGCCCCGGCCTGCTGCTGGGGGAGCGTCCACTGTTGAGCGAGGGTTTTTGATGGTTTCGTCTACCGACACGATAAGGCAGGCGGCCTCAGACGCTGCGGTCAGGGCGTTGATGCGCACCATGGCTGGCTCCCACACGAAGGCCTCGAAGTTGTCAGTGATGTCCTCGTTATTGATGTCCACTCCGTACCACATGCCCCCCTGAAAGAAAAGGAAAAGAGAGGAGGTAATAGGCAACTGCTCTCAAATTTCCTCCCGCATATCCTCCAAAAGCTTCTGGGTGTTAGAAAACCTCATTCTCTCTGAACTTGTCCGAATTTCCCCAAGGAAGATGGCGTCTGCCTGGCGTCACCCCAGGAAGCTGGGTGTGCATGTCTTTCCACCCGTGCCCCTAACGCCCACCCCCTTCAAACCCTGAACAAGCTGCTCACACAAGAGCTCTAGGACCTCTTCTGGGCAACATACTGTGTTTTGGGGAGGCCCCACCCTCAGGTCACCCTGGGGGCTGTGTATTTCTCAAGAGGAACACTCCCCAACACCCCCCACTACTTGGCTCACTGCTTCCATTAGTT